GACTTCACCCTCTTCAGCGTGGCGCCCGACACGGGGGAGCTGCGCACGCTGCGCTCCTTTCTGGAGCAGGATGCCAGCCGGCAGCAGCTGGTGGTGCAGGTGCGGGACGGGGGACAGCCAGCCCTCTCTGCCACCGTGTCCCTCCTGCTTTCGGTGGTGGAGACCATGCCCCAGACTCTCTCCGACTTCAGCGAGTTCAGCCTTCCTCCAGAGGTCTCCTCATCCTCCCCGCTCACCCTCTATCTCCTTGTCTCCCTGGGCTCCATCTCCTTCACCTTCCTCCTCGCCATCCTCATTCTCACAGCCATTCGCTGCCGCGGCGAGCGGCGTTCCCGCCAGGGGGACAGCTGCTCGCCGCCTCGCTGCCATTGCTGTCCCGGGTCCAGACCCTCTCCTGATGGCCTGAAGACTTCCAACCTGACGGCGCAGCCCCCTTCGGGGACCGCGGCTGGCACCTGCCTTGATGTGCCCGCGGGCGGCCCCCCAGGCTACTGCTACAAGGTCTGCCTTGGTCCTGAGTCTGCTCAGAGCGACTTCATGTTCCTCAAACCCTGCAGCCCCCCCCGGAACAACGAGAAGGATCCCGGGAAGCGGTCCCGGCCAGAGCAGCATCTCCAGGTCTCCAAAGAGGTAACACAACGCCCAGCAGGGCTTAGCAGCACTCCGCAGGTCCCCCCAGCCCCCTCCCTCAGCCTCTGCCACGAGGGAAGCCAGGCACGGCTTCTCCCAGAGAACAACCGGAGCCTTTGATCAGTGCGGGAATTAGGAGCCGTCAGGCAGCGGGATCTCCACCGAGCTTCCCGACGGGTCTAATTACCGGGGGAGCGCCGGGCTCGGCTGAGGCGAGAGGAAATCCCTTCTCACCGTCTTTTGTACCCATTAGAGGCAACAGAGATGCTCCAGTGCCCTGGGGGCGGTGGGATGGTGGGGGTGGCTTCTCCTCGGTGTGGGTAAACAATTCACGCTGAGACAGTGTGAGAGCATCGCTGCTGCTCTGCTGCCCCTGTGCTGGCAGGGCCCGCAGTGTCCCGGGCCTGGCTGCTGCTCTGCACCGGGCTGTGCCAGCAGGCAGGGAGTGGGGTCTGCGGGGCACGATTTTGATGTCAACATTTGTTAGGTATTGAAATGAGGAATGTCTAATTTTCCCAATGAAAGGCTCTCCAAAACACGATTACAAGGATGGAGAGTGATGAGGCGTCTAATCCACTTACGTCTGACTTTTAATAAACCAGCCCTTCTGAGGAGAGCCCAGGACTCTGTGCCAAGAGAGTCTCTCCACGTGTCTCCTTGCACCCCTGGACTCTCTTCCCTAATACTTAATTAGATTTTCCTGCAGCTTTTGCAACCCTCCTGGGACACCAAGCACACAGCTGATTTCTGCATCTCTCACCATTTAGTACCTCAGACCTGGGCTAAGTAAACATTCCACATGCAAAAAATGCGTTTGAAAATTGGCAGGAATAGGAGAACCACCTGTCTCTCCCCAGAATGACAGGCTTAAAACCCCCAGAGGCAGAGGACAAGCCTAGAACCACCCCCATACCTCAGGAGGGTGAGGAAGGTCCAGAAGGGAACAGGCTGATTCCGTGCTGTCTCAGTTTCCCCAGAACAGGAATGTGCTTCTTGATTCTCCACAAAGGACACAGGGAAAGTGGAGATGCGGTCCTGCATCCCTGCCTGCTGGAGCCTTGTGCTGGCAGGGCTGGGTTTTTTGACAAAGGGTCCCAGGGCTGATTGACAGAGCTCCCAATAACCCACCCTTGCTCTTCCCTGTGTTTTCCAGGCCAAGCAGCCCAACACAGACTGGCTGCCTCCAAGCACGCAGAGACCTACCCTAAAAAGGTACCAAATCCAGCCCTGGGGGAACAGAGGGAGCAGGTGGAAGGGGGATACTCGAATGGGGAGGTTATGTCCCACACAGCTTTGAACCAGTCTCTTCTCTTTAGCTCCCAGAGCCTGGAAGATGTGGGGGAAATCCGTAGAGCCCTCCAGAAGGAGCACGAGAGGCTGTGCACACTGGTGACCCCTGTCTCTGGTTAGTATTGGGGTACTGGGGCTGGCAAGAACAGACCCTGTGGTTGCTTTTGGAGGTGCACTGGGGGCATCGCACCCCTGTTCCTCGCAGTGGTGAAGTTTTGTGGGTGGAAGGGGTGTCCAGGCACCAGGATGGAGGTTGGTGACACAGGACTCACATCCTGGGATGTGGATGCGACCTGAGCCAATCTTTCACTCATCTTTTCTCCAGAGTTTCAGAAGGCTTCAGCCGGCCCCAACAGCATCTGGACACCCCACTACAGCCCCTTGTACCCAGCCCTGGACTATCAGCACAACGTTTACATCCCTGGCACCCCCACTCTGCTTTCCAGCAAGGATGGGCCCCACTTCCCGGGCCGGGAGAACAAAAACAGCTTCTCCACCTTTGGCAAGAGGAAGAAGATGACAACTTACTGTGACATGCATGACAGTGTGGTTATCAACAACGACCTGAAGTAGCCTGGATGGCTCTACCCTTGGAATCTTCTGCATTATTTCAGCTGCCAGATCCACCCACAGCACACACCTCCATGTATGGACCACTCAAGACTTTATGGAGATGCTGGGAGAGTGGCTCAACAGAGCATGTGGGAAGGATTTAAGGAGCAAGAGACTGAAAATTACAGGGACTGGGAGGTGGTGGCAGGGGGAATTTCTCCCATCTCATCTTGCAGAGCTGTGTTGGCAGCAGGTGCTGTTTGAGGTCCATATGACCAGATTTAAGCAAATCTGCCTTGAGTTTACCCATTCCCATGTCCCCTTAGGGACCATTCATCTCTGTAAACATTGTCACTTCTTTGTCTTGTCTGGCTGTGTGAATGTACTGAGCTGCATGCCTGTATCTCTGTCCCACTAGGCATGGAAAGGGTGTGTAGGCCAGGCCTGGTTCAGCCAAACCTGACCTCACCCACTGGGGCAGTGACCATTGCTCTGTCCCTGAGATCCAGCAGGATGTGTTGCATGTCCAGAGCAGCAATTGGTGTCTGTTTTCTCTGGGAAGTGAGTACAAAACCCCCAGCCTTCATGAGTGCTTCTCTTCAAACCCTGACCCAACACTTGCAGGGCTGGACAGAGCCCAGCTCCAGGGCAGAGCCAGCCTTGCTCAGGAGCAGCACAGGCACACATGGACTGCATGGCCAGAGGGGCTGCCAGCCTACGCACCTGAGAGATGCACAAGGAGAGGCCCTGCTGGGCAGCTTTCTAGCCCAAGGCAACATCATCTGAATGAAAAACAATTTCCAACCTTTGGAGTGACCCCAGCACAGGTCTCTTCCCTCCAGCCCCTGCCCTCACTCAGATCTCTGTGCTCCCCAAGTCCTGAATGCCTGAGGAACCCCTGCTCTGGTGCACTGGGGGCCCCACCTGCACAGGACAAACCTCTCCAAGGGTGCCCTGTTTCTCTTTTAGAACCTTTAGCTGGCAGTCAGGAGCCCTCAAGGGCAGGACTGCAGCCCCAGCACAGTCTCTCCCCTGCCTTGTGCACCCTGCACCTGTCCACCAGTCTGTCTGCCATCACTGCCAATTGCTCTGGTCATGGGACAGTTCATTTTGAATCCATCTGTGCAGAACATGACAGCTCTTTCTAAACTGAGTTTCTTTCACTCTGTCTGATTTGTACCAATAAATTGTATTTTAATATCTCACCCTGGCTCCTGGCTGTCCCTGAGTTGCACACAACAGCAGGGATTGCTGCACAGCTCGTGGAGCAGCACTCCCAGCTCCAGGAAATACGTCTGTCCTTCTGACTCCTGGAGCAGAGAGCTCCTTTTATGCCTAGAGCTCATTTTATTCATTTCACCTGCATTCTGGGGGCTCAAGGCCCCCTTCTCTCCTTCCCTGGACTCAGGAGCAGTTTGGGGTCATGGAGATGTCCCACAGCTCCTTGCTCAATGCTCCAGCTCGGGTAGGGGGAGATTTGCACCATGGTGGGGGCATCCACGAGCTGCTGCTAGAGGGGCTGGATGTGGCACTAATGGCAGAACAACTCGTGGTTGTTATACTGATTTCTCTGGTGAATTTACCCTTTTCCTTGGGTAGGCACCCACAGCTTCCCTCAGGGGCCACAGAGATAACCTGGGCCTGTGCCAGGTGTAGGGGCAGCTCCCTAGGGATAGGCAAGCCTGGATCTGTTGGTGGGATGTCTCTTGGCTTGATGTGGGAGCACTTGGCCTCCAGATGAAGTCCTGAGGTGACCAAGCCATGGTTGTCCTTCCCATACCCCAAACTTGCTGGTGGCTGGCTCGGGGAGGCTGCAATGCAGCTTTTGGGATTAACCCAGAAAAGTCCTTGTCTGCAAGGGGGCAATGAGCCCTTCAGTGGAAGCAGGGCCAGGGAGCTCTCAAAGGGGCCTCGTGGGAGCCAGGGCCTGGGAGGACAAAGCTTTGGACATGAAAGGAACCTGGCTGCTGCTGGTGACTTCAGTCCCAGCTCACATCTGCCTGGCTGCGGGTAGATGAAATATTCCCTGTCCCAATTAGACAGTAGGATGAAGGATTTTCTGCTGCCAAGTGCATTCTTCAAGGGTCTCCAGAGAGTGTTAAGGGTAAAAAAGAACCCCAAACAGCTACCCTGAGACCTCTGCACAGTATTAGCCTGTTCCACTGCTTCAAAAGAACAAGGGAATTATGTAAAGTGATACAATAAGATTAATAACAGCCTCAAGAAGTAATAAAAGCATCAAATGGACCTGAGTCCCCGCAGGGCAGCAAGCCTCTCCCCCTGCTGGATTAACCCTGGCAGTGTCTCTGCTGCATTTTCAGGTGGTGCTGGTCAGCACTGGGAGAGAACTGGAGCCCTTCTGCAGCAGGGTCCAGCTGCTCACTGTGCTCACACAGCAAAAGCACCAGCACAGCCTGTGCTCCATGGCATCCAAGGGCTCAATGAGCACATGGAACTGGTGCTTTGTATCAGATTCCCTGGTGTGGCTTCCCTAAGGGAAATTGATCTCAAAGCTGACCCCTCAAAACCCACAGGTGTTTGAAAGCTGCATTTTGCATCACTGTCTTTGGAAAATCATGGGGTTGAGCAACCAAGGGGACAGGTTTGCCACCTCCCCTGTCACTCTCCAGAGTATTTTATTGGCATTTTTTAATCCCTGCTACCAAGGCTCACTGATGCCCACTGAATTGACCCCATGTCCTGTCCATTACTCCTGACCATGATACAAAAACACACACACACACAGACACACAGACACACACACACACACACACACACACAGACACACACTCATATCTGTACTTCCTGCTGACCCCCAGGTCTGCATGTTCAGTTCAGGCACCTCCCAAAAGGGGTTTGAGCAGCACAGCACTCAGCCCACACCTCAACACCCCCCGTTCCCCCAGAATCTGCCTTTGCTCAGTTGAAGGGAAACCTGCACTGACAAGAGCTCAGTTTCAATCTTTCATTTCAGTCACCATATTGATGAAAAGGACAATAAAAAGGGACATGCTTTAGGGCAGAGAGGACTTGCATAAATCTAATTCAGCCACACTACTATCCCTCTTCAAAGGGCATGTCTGGTCAGAATCGTCCATCTAATAGATGAGATCTCCTTTGAAGATCTCCCACAGGGACAGGGTTTCATTAAAAATGCAAGGTCTTTGCCCTACAACTAGTTATTTTTACAACTCTCCCTGTGCTAACACTCCTGAGCATTGGCTGGTTTCTGTAGCCTGGTAATGCACTGGGCATGAGAGCTCTTTTGGAGATCTGCTCAGCAGAACCCTCTCCGGATGCCTCTCTCACATGTTCCAGCTCTCTCAGAGTTCCAGAGGCAAATTTGGCTTTCAGGGACCCGCCAGCCAGCTTGAGATTTGCTTCTAGGACAGTGGGAAAGCTGCCATGTGGTGCAGTTGGCTGCAAAATGCTTCAGGCCATGCAAGGCAGGCACACAGCACTTCTGGGCACCAGCACAAACAGGGGTTTGTGCTCTTGCTGCTGCTGAGTAGACTGCTCAGATGGAAACATCACTTGTACCTCCGAAATGACTTGAAAACGGGTCCCAGAGAGACAAAACTAATCCAGAGGTAGAGAGAAAAGAGGCCAGAGGCAAAGACCCAGAGGGGCTGATGCTCAGTTCTGCTCCCATCTGCCACACACAGAATTGAGAAGCAGCCAGCAAATTCCCCAAAAAGCCTCAGCATGGACACAGCACTCTGCATGCAGCTGGGTCAGGCTGGCTACAGCCATGGGTGCAGGTGGGTCTCACTCCCAGAGGGTATTGTCAGGACAGAGTCAAAATCCATGAGAACCTCTGCATGGACCTTGGATCCAGCCCAATCTGTGGCACATCACTAATTAGATCCTCCAAAGATGCTAGGAATTTATTCCTCTCCTCTCCTCTCCTCTCCTCTCCTCTCCTCTCCTCTCCTCTCCTCTCC